CATTTCACTCCTATTTAACATCCAAATTTACATGAATGATAAATTATCGGTAAACAACCCAATATGATTCTCACCTCCATTGATTCAATCGAAGTTTGTTTGAGCTAGTGGTGGTCGAATATTGACAACAATGCCATCATTTTTATCTCCAAATAATTGGCTAAACGTAGAGACATAGAGTGCTATGGTCTATATATATGAGTTCATATTATATGTAACTAACAATAATAGTAAAATGGTGAGAATTGAACAAACTTATTATACGTAACTAGCAATAACTAGTAGTTATTCCCATATTCATTCAAAAGATCATGTACAATTACTTACAAACCCTCTCATATTCATCTCTTCTTTACAATTCTCCAACACTTTTACACATTTTCAAAGTTCATAACCAGGGAATCTAGCTTCATCAGGATTCATCATATCAAAGAAAAGATACGCCATGCCTCCAACTCCTTCAAACAAGGAAAACGGATGATCACCTTTATGCATCTTCTTTTTCCTCATAAGCTTCACTCCTCTACCAAGTAAAAAACAAGCAAACAACTTGGCCCTTTTCAACATCTCCTCATTTTTTGTCAACCTATAAAGTGCCAAAAAAACATAAGTATTCCCACTAATCCCATGACAAAGTCCAACTCTTTTCAATAACCCACGTTTCCACACAACTTCTCCAGCCTCCATTGCTGCATCCACAAACTCCTTATCTCCAAAAACCTAACCAATTTACATCTTTCAAGTTACTAAAAATTACTTCTAGATTAATTTCTTAATGGGTTATGTGAAAAATCACTGAGCATATTCGATTACCTCAGCAGCTTTGACAAGGGTGAGAGCCATTCCAGATGCTCCTTGACACCATTGGACCAAAATATCCTCCTGATTATCTTCTTTAGAGGGATAGTTCCCACTAGGGAATCTAGTATTAATCAAGTACTTAAGGCTCTTTTTCACATCCTCTTGTACATCAGGAGTCAAATCAAAATGCATCAAAACATGCAAAATCCCAGCTAAACCATCAGCAGCACCATAATGTTTAGTGCCAAAATATGTATACATCAAAGGGCATCTTGTTCCAGCGCCCAAACTTCTTCCATTTTCAATCATCTTATTCACTAATCTATTCTGTTTTAACATAATAAATTGGTTCTTTAGTGTATTATTGTATGTGTAAAACTCAAAAGAGAAATCAATTAATCCATAGGAATTATGAAATGAATCTTACAGTGTAGGATGAAGGAATGACTCCATCAAGGAAGTGCTTATTCAAGAACAGACATGCCCATAAGTGTCCAGCTCTCCCGTGTAAGATTCCATCTCGCCTATAGTCCTTTACTTCAATCTGTTCCATTGTTATATAAATTAATTACGTAGCATTATGCATAAGAAAGAAAAGCTATATATGTTACTATATTAATTATTACCTTTTTGAATCGGGTCATATAGCGTTCAATCATCTGTGTATTTCCTTGGTACATTGACACAACAGCACCAAGAGCACAAATTCCAGCAGTTCCACGTAGAAAGGTTATACTCCTATATATCATTAATATTGATTTGGAGAGCATGTTAAAATACAAATTTATATATCAAGATAATGAAACTGGAGCAATATATATAGAGGGTACCTATAGTATTCAGAAGCAGAGTAGCAAGCTTTGATGATGTCAGCAGAGGTGTTGAGATCATCCATTTTGCGAGTCACTAGAAAACTTTTCAAGAGCAAGAAAGCAGTCCCCGGAGTATCATCATAAAGATTACAGTTGACGAGTATTCTTCTTTCTTGGGTCCGCCATGTACCCCTCACAACCTGTTAAACATTTCCACAAACAAATGGTAGGCATGCACACAAATGCAGAAAACCAAGAAATTAATATGCAGTTCCCACTAAAGATTCAGTATCGAAAACCATGAGAGAGAGAGAGAGAGAGAGAGAGAGAGAGAGAGAGAGAGAGAGAGAGAGAGAGAGAGAGAGAGATGGTACAGAGTATTTCTGATATAGGGCGGATTGTCTGAATTTGCTACGGAGAGGGGAGGCACGAAATTTAAGAAGGTTCAAGATAAAATCTTGAGACTCTTTTGCAATAACCTCGCTTCGTTCATTATCTCCATCTACTGTTGACGTTTCTTCTTCGAGGTCTCGCATGAAATTCTTAAAGTACCGGTCTCTCATTTCTCAGACGACGATGGCTTACTGCGGCACACACTGAGAGAGAGAGAGAGAGAGAGAGAGAGAGAGAGAGAGAGAGAGAGAGAGAGAGAGTGTATGAAGAAGAAGATATATCTATGGCGAAGAACTTGTAGCTGACATGAAAATTGCGAATATTACGATAGGAGAAGTGAAAATGGATTCCCTGAAATCAAAGAAATGGTTACATTATATACACCGGAGAAGAGAAAGTTGCTCACTAACGGATTTACAAAGCTAACAAACTTAACTAACTAACTGAACGTAAATTGCATAAAACCGCTTCCTGTGTAAATTACAGTTATGCCCTCTAATGCTGTTGTATCTGGCACGTGTAGATGATGATCTGATTCATTTGAAGCCGATTGCTACTGGACGCTTGGTGACATATCGAGTAATTTTGTTTAAACAACTTCCACAATGGTCGGTCGATTTATTATTTTTCTATATTGGCTTCTTAATAAATTAAATATTTTTTAATAAACAACTTTTTTAACTGAATTGATTTATCCTTATTTGTAGAGGTGGCAATCTAACACAATATAAAGTAAATGAATTTGGATAAGAAATTTCAACTTTTCTAAATAACATGTTGACATGTCTAGACAATAAAATTAAATGGGTAAAATTAGTATCGGATGGTAGAAAATCCTTATTGGAGTTTTTATTGCTCTAGCATTACATAATGCCCAAAGTTACATAAAAGTCCATATATTATCCATAAATAATAAGAATAGTATGTACCATAAGCATTATATAACATTTAGCAACCGACTAATTTTTTCAGCCTGGTTGGTATCACGACTCACGACATGACACATATATAAGATCTAATAATTTGGGTCAAGTTTTTTGCATCCCATTGGTACCGAAGCACCATGCTCGTGTTCTCGCATCAAAGTTTTATTTTTTGGATTCGTCTGTATCATGATTTGTTTTGTGGGGACAAACAACTGTCCGCTTCAGGGTCATTTTCTTTCGAAGCTAGCAAAGGGCTTCATATTTCCCTTCATCACTCCCATTTCCCTCCATTGTTTACTCATCCCGCCCAACCTAAAGGCAAAACCTACTAATCAGACATGGAATACATGAGTTTAGGTAAAAAACAAAAAATCAACCAAACTAAGTAAACGAGTTGACACGACACAAGACAAGAGTAATGCCAAACACTTTCAACCCGATACAACATGTCTACAAGTCTAATATTTATATAAAAATATATAGTATGAAACCTACTAATCATTTCATTTATTGTTTTTTAAACACAACATTGTTTGTTTATATATATATATATATATATATATATATATATATATATATATATATATATATATATATATATATATATATATATATATATATATAACACCCGAAAATTTGAGGAGCAATTCTGGGAATAAATCACCTTTTGAGGATCTAACAAAACGTGTTGGAGGCACCAACCTGACGTGTCCAAATATGAGGAAACTCGGATTTCATTAAGTCAACAATATGTGTTGCCTCTTGGAACACGATATGTTGACGGATGGAATAAAACCCTAATCTTCTGGGATTTGCTCCCTATTTAAATGATCATGGGGGCTAGGGTTTGTTCACCCTCATCCCCATCAGTCCTAAAAGAAACCCTAATCATTTTTAGCTAGTTTGGTGTTTTTGAAATTAAAGAAGTAAGAAGCTGGAAGAAGGAAGCAAAGATCCAACAAGCAAGCCCTCATTCTTCAGTTTGGCACTCTTTTGGACCTTTGTAAGTATCCAAGACTTGATTTTTTTATCATTTAAAGTTGTTAGATCTTCGGTTTTATCCCTTTTGCTTCTTGTTCTTGAATGTTGGAATGGTTAGATCTCATAAAGTTTTCAACTTTATGAATCTCCAGGTCAAGGTGACCTAGTAGTGTCTTGGATCTGGTGTATAATCAAGTCTTGATGCCATGTATGGAGATTAGGTCATAAATCCTCATTTTGACCTAATATGGGTTAAGGACATGCATTTGACATGTATGTCTAAAGAACCACTAACCTTTTGGATGGTTTAGGTGTTAGAAGCATTTCTAGAAAGGATAGACTTCATACTTTAAGGATTAAGTACATATTGGTTAAGACCTTACATTATCAAGCTTTATGGTTTGGGTTTTGGACCTTTTTGGTAGTCCCTAATGGATATAGTTGGAAACTTTATCCTTCCTAATCACATTTTGGCCTAGATCTGAGCTTTGGAGCTCTTGGAGTCGAAAAGCCAGCTGAATGTATTAAGTTGTTAGAACTCGAGTGAACACGATGTGTTTGCAAGTCAGCACAATGTGTTGGTTGAGGTTTTCCTGACTGTTTGGATGCAGGCGAAACACGACATGTTTTTAAGTCAACACGGTGTATTGAGTGAACATGGATATTGACGTTGACTGTTGATTTTGACTAAGTTTTGACCTAAGGGGGTATTTGAGGTATTTTAAGTGGTATCTAAAGGTTGGTTTCTATTTGATGGATATGTGTTGGTTGGAGCTAAGATTCGGAGTCGGTCCTCATTAGTTATGTTAAGTCTGCGAGGTGAGTTTTCCTTACTATACTTACGGGTGAAGGCATCAAGGGCGTCCCATTGGTTTGATAACCTATTATTCATTGATACGACGAGTATCGAATAGTTATGCATGATAGTTTTGATATTCTAGTTTGGTAGATCTGTAGGACTACCTATGATATTGTTTGATTATATTTCTATGTTATTGTTTGTTATATGTCGACATATTGTGTGGGTTAGGTTGAGGTTGTACTGCTCCGTGCGGTTGCTAAAAAATCCAACAATCCAGATATGAGATAAGGACTGGGGAGGGCATGTCAGATTCATACTAAGGGCTCATGAGCATTCCATATACGAGCTAAGGGCTAGGAATGGAATTCAATTTGTTTGCCATGGGGAGCAAGCCAGACATAAGTAGTGGGCCAAGAGCAAGCCATACTTATGCTGTGGACTTATGGGTAATCCAATTTGTTTGCTATGGGCCCATTCGATGCTGTTATTGTATTTATGTTATTTGTTTTGTGTTGGTATTTTAGGGGAACTCACTAAGCTTTGTGCTTTACAATTTTGGTTTATGGTTTTAGGTACTTTAGTAGACCGTGGCAAGAAGAAGGTGTGACCGTACACATCCTTGGTTTTACAACTAATTGGATCTTGGAAGACTTTGATTTTAAATAATGTTTTGAAACAATGGTTTTGTAACACTTCCATTAGACAAAATGGTTGTTTTGAAATTTTTTAAATTTATTGAATTTTTGAAATGTTACGATATATATATATATATATATATATATATAAAATATTCTTAGCCATTAATATTATGTAATAGCCATTTTTTTGGTTACCAGTTATGTACCCTTATATCGGGTCATACCAACTCATTCTTCACGTAGTCATTTTCTATTATCAGTTGCATACACATTTCAATTTTATACATAAGGTCTTGTCATAAAGGCAACACCACATGTCTACATGGACATATCATGTCATCGTATGCATAAAACATCTACCTCACGATCGGAGGCATAACACCTCTCGTGTGGCCATTTAAGATAATCATAAAGTCTGAGATCTTCCGAGTATTTTACAAAACCAATAGTTTCTTTGAAATTTTTTACGAATAACAGTCCTAAATGATGTGGTCTTTAACATTTTAAAGTATTCTTACTCTTTAAAAAATTGTACTTTTACTTTTTAATCTTTAAAACAATTAAACATACTCTAACTCTTTAGAACTCTTTGAAACTCTTTAAAATGTGTTTTCACGCATTAATACATCATACATATAATACTTCATACACACATTTTACATAAAAGAGGCATATATAAGAAGTCATAACTCACAAATTAAGTTTAGGGATATGTATTATTGAGAGAAACTCACTTCAAAGATCTTCCTTGCATGATATATTAACATCTTATAATGTTAATTGTTAACCTATAAGTGATAATGATCAAATATATGACATATAGAATCTTTACATAATGTATTCCTAAGCATTTATGTTGAACATTATTCGTACAACTATACATTTCAATTGTATAATTGTACGCACTAAGTGTATAATGGTATACTTGTTTTTTGGAGTTGTAAAAAGCAAGCCAAATTTCTTGTTCTTAAGAAAACATACACCAATATAAAGTTACGCATAGTTGTGCACATATCTTTCTCCCTTACACATAGTAAGTGTACATGTATATGAAATTGCATGTACATTTTTACAAAATGAGCTATGAACTATTTACAAAAAAATCAAGGTTTATTAACCTAATTATAATACATAAGCATTCAATATCTTCTAAGGAGGAACTGATTCATGGCATGAAGAATCCTAATTTATCCATTAATTAAATAAATCATCAATTCCAATAACTCCATTAAAGCTCACTTTTGATCAAATTGAAAGTTTTAAAGCTATGTTTTAGACATTAAATCAAAATTTCACATCCATATCATATAATTAATATAATCCATTAATTAGATTCAAAATCCACAAGATTTGGTGATGGTTTCATGATGCTAGGGTTTGAAAAATTCCATTAAAGCTGCATTAGCTAAAATTCATCATATTAAGGAGATTATGTAACACCCATTTTCCAAGATGAGTCGATTTAGGGTTTCAATGAGTCAAAAGGTTAAATTATTGAAGAAATGAAGCCTTATAACATGACCTTTAAGTGGTCACGACGTAAGTTGGGCTAATATGAAATGTTTTGTTCGGGATTGGTCTCACTACATGAGGCAAAGAGGCTCACAGTGTGAGAAATGTTGCAGCCCAAGCCCATGATCTTTTAGGGTCTCCTTCGGTTGTAAGTCCCTTTAAACCCATTATAAGGTGCATTATTAGCCTCTAAACCCTCTTTCACCTCAGAAAACCCTAGCCTCCATCCCTTGCTTGATTCTTGGCCATTTTGGAGCAATTCTTGGTTTGAAGAAGAAGAAGAAGAAGGTGATATTTTGAAGAGGCTTGCAAGGAATCATCATCATCATCGCTTTACATTGTTCCTAGACCCTTGTAAGTGTCAAAGCATTCAGCTTTATTGCTGTTTGTGGCTAAATCTAAG